TTATTAAGAGTAATCGGGAGCTGCTCCAGTACTTTCTAAGGGACGCAGCGGTAGGAGACGAAGTATTCGAAACTGCCAGTAAAGGTGGAGCTTAAAAATGATAAAGTATAACGTGCTATCCCTACCCTACACGCGTATAGTACCTACTCCGTTCAGTTCAGTCATTTCATTTCAATGTAACATGAATAGACAATTGAATAAGGAATTTATTTACACATATCACATATGTAGGTACTTACTCGATTTATTATTTTTTATTTCATACTGATCCGTAGATGTTCGATTACTATCAATTTACGTCCGTAAGTGTCGCTAAGCAACACTTACCGGACTGTTATTTATACACTAAATTTGACATCTTCAAACAATTCATTAAAAACTCCAACATAAATTTGACCATAATTATTTATTTGGAACATTAACATTTATTGTAAAAGAACAATTTGTGGTTCCCGCACCACTAACGCCTGGATTATTACTAGATATCGAGTTAGTAGTTTGATTCCCTCCGAGGCTCTGCTGTAGAACTGCAATAAAATTCTCGTCATGAATTGATTTATTGGAAAGCGTAAGCGGGTACGAAAGATCACCTTTGAAACTCGATCAGGGTAAACGCATGTTTTGAGTTCCATAAGATACCACCAAACCCTACCCCCACCTAACCCTTAAAAAAACCCTCAAAGGGTTGAAAATGCCTATTGTTGTTTTTTGGGAATACGTATCTTGAAATCAAAGCTATTTAGGGAAAAATATGAAGATAGAAAAATTTAAGCATATTTTCCTATAAAACCTATACCTATATATTTTCCTGTACCAGTGGCGGAGTTATGATATTAATTTTGGTTATTTTTAAAAAGACTAATGTTTTAATTTCTGATTGAAATAAAGACAAATTTTTCAAAAATATTTAGTTCATTAAGTCACTATGCCAAACAAAATTTATATATGTTGCGGCCAGGAAATTGAAAACCAAATAAAGTCATGGATATTTAAAAATGTCAACATAAATTAGGACCTCTAAAAATGTTATTTTTGCCATGCACGTCATTTCTGAATGCGATACCACATCTGGGCTTTTCAACAAATAGGAAATATTATTTTGTCTATACCTACTGTAGACAAGGAAGAAATATAACAAATGACAGATTAAGGACCTTGACGTTCTTTACCAGCAATATGTAGTACAGCAAAATTTAAATAAGGATTTTATTTTAGCATAGCTTCCACCGGCTCTAAAGGCAGCTCAGTACCAATAACCATGCGTTTTTAGGACTTTTAACAAGTATTTTCTTTGAAAAGATTAATTATATTATTAAGAAGCTCCTAGCAGTTCAGAATTTTGGACTTTTTGTCCGTCCGTCCGTCCGTATGTGGACAAGATAACTCCCGAACGGTTTCGAATTTTCCAATTCTGTTTTCAGTATTTCGTTTATCATCACCCAAGGAAAAGATGTTCAGTGATCCAGGAGCTCGTTTGCTATATTTGTTACAAGTTTATTCTTATTTGACTCTATCGCTTCAATTCCTCTAGTTTCATTATACCTTCTTTACAAAGGCCTCAAAGCTGGAATGTAATACTGACCCGGATGATTTTCCTTTTTAGTTTCAAACATGGCTGAATAATAACTTACCAATGCAGGAGTGGATCAAGACATACATGGACCTCGAAAGGGTTCTAAAGCAAATTTTTTGCAACTGTTCGTCAGGCGGTTGCAAAAAAGCTTGCTCGTGGCGAAAAATTGGTCTAAAGTGTACCCTAGCTTGTAGAATTGTAGACAGTTATAGAGTCTGACGAATTAATATAGGTATAGAAATAATTAAAAACTTATGCTATGTTAAGTATTCATTTGCCTAAACGGATCGTATTTTAGTTACACTACCTCATAATAAGTTACCCTACTGCACTGCATAGATCGATACCTACTGACTACAATATATTACAATATATTATCGTTTTAATGCATTAAAAAAGGGATGACATAAAAAAATTAGTACTGCCACTGTTATGATTTTTTATTTCATTAGAATAGGCACGAAATGAATGTTCTTACCTAAATATTTTTGAGAAATTTCTCTAGATTTCACAAAAAAAATAAAAAATTAAATTAATTTTTTAAAATAAAATTAACATTATAACTTCGCCACTGGTACAGCACCAAACCTACGCTTTCATTTGTCTATCTTCACATTCTTTTGCAAATAGCGTTGTTTTCAAGATATTGACAAAAAACATAAAAAAATCCCTT